GATTATATGGCTTGGCAAACTTTCATGAATGACAATATGAAATAATTTTCACTGACAGATAGGATAACAGGGACATAACATATCCTGAGGTGGTAAGAGAATAGAGCCGTGCATTTGAGTACAATCATAACCAATGGATCTCAAACACCTCCGTGCTATGTTTCTGCGCCTCGTAAGGAAAGGGGGCCCTGGTCTGTATGTAACCCCATAGGACACTCTTTGTCCTTCCCTCCTTAGAGACTAGACCAGGGCTTTCTCCATGCTTATGGCCGGTCCAGCCTTTCACTATCTACCTGCTGGCTTATTTTAACACACTGTATTGCAGACCTTTTTCCTGCTCACTCTGATCACAAGCATCCTTTTAAATTGTCAAGACAAAACTTCCCTCTGCAGCTAAGATGTTCCAGGACTCTGCAAGCCATCCCCCTCCAGCCTTCGTTAGAGGGTATTTTGGGCACTTTAACAGCTTCTCAACTTGTGTTCAGAGCAGGACTAGGGTCCTAGGGCATGTCCCAGGCAGAGGCGGAGAGAGTAGGCTCTTGGTTCCCTCAAAGTAACTGCTTTCATTCCACTCATATATTGGAGTCTCACATCAGATTTCATTTGGTGCTAAATATAAATAAAAAGTGATGCCTTCAAAAGAGGTAAACACCATGGAAACTACTACAAATGGTTCTCTCCAGGTGCTCCTGACCCTCCCCAGGCTGCCCCTTCAGACGGAGGTTACATCCTTCTTTCCTTTAAAGAAGCTCACCCTACTTCTTCTTCTAGAATTTGAAACATATATGAATTAAAACAAATATATGTATATTTACAATATCCAAAAATAAGCCAGACTGTGGCACAATAAATCTTTGCAAAGTTAAGATTTGTTTCCTTACTTGGACGCAAAACCCCACCCCGACCCCCAATTTCCAACCTTCCCCCAACATCAAGTTTTTGTCATCAGAGATCAACCAAAGGACTTGTGTGCATTCATACAAGCCTAACCAATGGACACAGACAACAGGGGGTGAGGGCATGAGTGGGGGGGTTGATGGGAGGAGGGGCAACGGGCAATAAGGACATATATGTAATACCTTAATCAATAAAGAAGAAAAACATTATAAATAAATAAATCTATTAAATCGATGAAAAGAAAAGAAGTGAAAAGGAAAGGAAAGAAAAGACATATAACTGACAGGCAGTCTTTGTGCATTTTTCCCCCTTACACTCAAAGAGAACGAAGCTGCCTCTCTCCCTTTACCTCTCCAGGTTAACCCAAAATCAAGACTGGCATGTGGTTGCTATTCTAGACTAATTATTAGAAATTGGGCATCGCTATCAAAAAATGCCGGCTACCGTGCGTATGCGTGCGTCTGACAACTGAAAATGAGTTGGAACGTGAGTGTTTTGTTAACTTGTATTGGTAAAAGACATTGTACATGGTAGCATAATGATCCCAAAGCAAAAAAATAAGTAAACAGACATGCCAGAGGTTTGAAGGGACTTCATGGTGCTCGTCAAAGTCCCTTTAGGACTTTTGTTCTAAGCAAAAGGTCTGACAGGCCATAGAGAATGAAGGCAGACTCTAGAAACCAACAAATCCCATTCATTTCCTTCTGTTTGTAAAAACAAGCAACTGACAAGTTTCCTGCCAATGAACACAGTCACAGATAAGAAAGCTCCCTACAGGAAATCCTTTGCTCAAAGAGAACCTTTGTGCCATGAAACTTAACCTTTTTCACCAAATCCATTAACTACAGGACAACCTGGGATCATGACGTTTACCTAAATCACCCGGCGATGTTAGGGTTCTCTCTACCTTTCCCTCCCCCAATGCAATTAGTTGATGAAAACAAAGCACATTTGCTGCTTTTTAAAAAAATCAGTGTTAATGAAATGCGATTTAAAACTGACCATTTCAATTAAGATAAAGCAACCCGAGGCTCTAAATCATCATGATGGGAAGCTATTAACAAATGAAGATCCAGAACTTAGCATGAGAAGTCTACCATCGGCAAGATGAGAGAAACACAGGAAACACACTGGCTCTATATTTAGAAGGTTCAGTGTCCATCCCCAGAGTCAACATTCAGGAGAGGGCCTCCTTGGTATTTGTCACTTAACAAAGTGAAATGGGGGGGGGGGGGGGGAATGTAAGGGGGTTCGCCAAACTTTTCTTTACTCCCCTCCCTGCAACCAGTACCAACCAAGACACTTAAAATACTTACCAACTTGATTCAGGGGCACCTCTCAATGATGCTAAGAACTAAAGCACTCTTTTCTATTCATGAAAGAACAGGAAACTTTTTCTAAGTTCACCCAATAATCATAGTTTCAGTTTGGAAACCATTCTTATTTCAATTTCAGTTTCCCCTTCAGGCTCAGTTACTGCGAACACCTCCCTTATCCTCCCCGAAGGCCCAGGCACAGTCTCCGTTTACCCCTGCACTAGGTTCCAAAATGCCCCCTTTCTTGGAATTGAATGGTGAGAAGTTCAACTCCGAACCCTCCTGCAAACAGCAGGTCCTCATTACATCGTCCCCCACACGCCTCTTCCTCCTCAGGTAACCTGTTCTGTTACTTGTCTTCACGGCTCTAAAAAGAGTTTGGTTCTAGCAGGAGACGGACAAATCAATTGGACGCCAGAATTACGCGCCCGCATACCTTCTTGGCCTTTCCATGCACAACTCAGAAGCAGCAAAATGCCATCCTTGCTTTAAAGCCCCCCCCCCCCCACACTCCCCTCACATTTTCAATAAAATAGTTATGAAATCTAGGAGCCTGCATTTTTGCTTGTTGTTGTAAAATGACCTTGATTTGACAGGCACAGTCTCAGGTTTCAACAGATGCTGTGGGAAAGCTTACAGAGGCCAACATGTTCTCCAGGCATCTGTGATGACATGCAGGATTTTTTTTTTTTTTAAGTGGTGGTTATGGGAGTGTATGTGTATGTATGGTGGAGGAGAAGGGGGGGGGAGTACTCTTCTCAGTTTCCATGACAACCATGTCTCCACTCATGGTTATTAGATACCATCCACTTCCTGTGTCTAAATTTTTAAGCCAATCAGAAAAGTGTTTATACATTTAACAACTTCTGGGACGCTGCTCCTTTAATTGAGGTGGTTTAAGGCTCAAATGGAGATATCCCCATCGGCCTTCTATTTTTCCTCTTACGGATATGACATGCCACACGGTATTTACTAACCCATATTCTTAGAAGGTAAAGAATGACTTTTTTTTTCCCCTCTTGGACTTGAAAGGCATTCTCCTCAAACCAGACGCCACAATTTCTTATAACAGAGTGCAAGCCGATTTTGCCTTTATGTTCCACTGTTGCAGACGGAAACTTAGTGCCTGCTCCATGCCAGTGCTCAGACACAGGACCAAAGTCAAGATACAGTTAAGCATCCATCCGCGGATGGTGCTATTTCAATATTCAAATCTAAAAAAAAAAAAAAAAAAAAAAAATGCGTACGAAAAATCATCCCAAGTTGAATAACTTAGCATTCTACAACTCCCGAGAAGAAAAAAACGATCTAGAAAAAAAACAAAACCAAACTGTAAAGTGATACGTCTCTCCATGTGTGCTAGTCGCTGACATCTGCAAAGAAATTTGCCACCAAAATGGCCTACTTTAATCTGCATGGAAATAAAGGCAAAAAAATAATAATAAATTAAACTTAAAGGTACCTCGAGCACACGGCACCTGACTTAACAACAATCCACCTGGCGGAAATCTGTGCATGAGGAGGCTCCTCTGAATTGACAGCGTGGTTGGAAAAGAAGGTTTTTGGGGGTGGCTGTGTTCCCAAGTCTCCGATCACCCGCGACCAATCCGTGTGAGAGTTCAAGGGAGCCCTGGCCCTCGGTGCAGGCTGCCCAGCTCTGCCCGCTCCGGGCTGCGCTCCCCTCTGGAAGGCAGAGCTGGCGATCAATGAAAAACAGGGAACAAAAGGCACAGCACACAGGCTCTCCTCCTCAGCTCGGGGGAGACGATGCCCTCTTCCCTCCGGGAGCCAGTCGCACCCTGCCCTCCGCCGCTGCCCGCGGGAGCTCCCGGCAGCCCCGGTCCTTGCAGAGGAGGCACATTGTGCACCGGCGATCATGTGTCCCAACTGCTGGCGAACTCGTCACCTCAAGCACATCCTGTGACAGAGGGGCTCCGCGTCCCCAGCCCGGGGAAACGAATCCATTGAAATCCAGGAATAGAATCCTCACCCTTTCAAAGCCGCCCGGGAAGAAGGGGTGTTACCCTTCCCCAAATGTCATCCCAGGAGTATAAACAAAGCCTGAGTGAGACACAGTCTCTCTCCAGCCTCCCCCCCACGCCAGGCATCAATGGTTTTCTCTCCGGCAAACAATGTTTCTCCAGAAGGAGAAAGAGTGTGACTGCCCTCCGAGGGAACTCTCCGCCCGGAGTGTCACGGCGGCGGAGCCAGTGACAGCCTCGGAGCAGAGGCGGGGACTGCCCCCCGAGGGGGGCCGCCGCGGGTAATTGATGGCAAACACAGTTGCGACAGCAATGCTGGCAACGGCCCGAGCCCAACTCCTCATCCACCCCGGCGGCGCTTCCTTGAAAATAAAAAAAAAAGTAGCGCCCCGGGGAGCCCACAAAAGTCAAGCCCGAGGAAGTCGTTAACGGAATTATACCAATTATTTGAATTTTAAAAATGATCCATTTGCTTTTTTCAAGGAAAAAAAAAATCTTTAAAAAAAAAAAACAAAACGACTAGCCACAAATTCCTGAAAAACTTTTTTTTTTTAAATGAACTTACTTTGGAGACAAAACTAATGAAAATATGCAACTTGCCATCCCTGGATCGCTCCCCCATGGGCTGCGTGCTCTATCCATCAGCCAAGCCAGGTGGAAACACGGGGCGGACACCTTAAAAAAAAAAAAAAAAGCCAAAGGGTGCCCCCAAATGCAGCAGCCGCCTGAGCAGCGAGGCTGCTCGTGACAATGCTGAACCCGAGCAGCAGAGCAGGCGGCAGGAAATGAGCCCCATTGTCGTTACCTTCGATCGCCGGCCCCCCCGCGGCTCCTCGCGGCTACATCGGGGGGCTGCGGCGGGTGGACTCGCGGGTGGCCCGCCGCCGGGTCGTGCCGTCTCCCGGCGGAGCTGCAGCCCAACGCGGCCGGAACCCCGGCTCCAGCCCCGGCGCCCGCCCGCCCGCCCGGGGTCGGCGGCTGTTCCTACTCGGCCCGGAGCCCCGCTGGGTCCTAGTGCGCGCCGGCCGGGGGCCGGGTCTGTGCCCGCACGTACGGCAGGCAGGCGGGCGGGCTGCTCGGAGAGCCGTGAATCCCCGCGAAAACCCAAACACCCGCCTGGCTGCCCCTTTCAAAGCCGGACTCCGTGCCGTGCCGGGGAGCCGGAGCTCACCGTCAAACCCTGGCGTGAGGATGGGAAAGAAACGCTCGGCTGCAGCTGGACTCAGGGAAGGCGGCTGTGCATATCTGCAGCCCCAGGTAAACCGAGGGTTCCCATATGTTTGCCCGGTGCACGTGTGATCGTATACAGCTATATTCACAGACAAGAAACAGTGCGGGGTCAACAAAGACAGGTTTCAAAAATATCACGCAAAAAAAGAAAAAAGGCTAACGATGTTGACAACCTTTTTTTTTTTTCAATTATTTGTGGGTTTTTGCTTTCCTAACAGGTCCTTCTGCATTTTTGCCTTCTCTTATTAATATCATATGCCATTTTAAATAACAAAGGCCCATATGGCTAAACACGTAGTCGTCTGATTTTCAAAAGACCTCAAAAATTGCATCAAAGCATGCACTCGTGTGCCTCCTAAGAGATCAACAAGGAAGAATTAATGGTGGCATATGGTGTGCCTCGTAGAGAAAACTTAATTACAAGTTAAAACAATTGCAAAAATTTACAAATTCTGTAAACTGAACGTAAATTATGATCCTAGATGTGAATGCAGAGCGGTGTGTGTACAGTTAGGGAAAGTGCAAGTTCAACATTTCTTTTAACTGTGGAAAGGGTGTTACGTGAACCCCCTGTGACAGATTATCCACGCTGCCCCCCAAAAGGGCTTTCCGTGACCTCTCAGTACATTTACTCACTGCAACCCACCTGGAAAGGCAACTTTTAAACTCTGAAGTGCTCGTTTAAGAGGACAATTCTATTAGCCCTTAATAAGAAACAACAGCGCTTGCTTTCGTTTCAAAAGCCTGTTTGAAGGGCTCTAAGACTGGGCAAGCTTTCTTGTCTATCTTTGATATCCCCAAGTTTGAAGGTCACGATTCTGTAAAACAGCTAATAACAATGGTACGTGGTTTGACACCAAAAGGAAAATCAAATATGTGTTTTCTGAGTCCTATTTTTGGAGCAGAAAAAGGCCCTTTGAAATGAGTCCTGCCTTCCTCCTTCCCAATTATAGCTAAATAAATGTAATGGAGGATTTTTAGTATTAATTAAACATCAAAGGCATCTTTCCTGCTGCCTCACGTCCATGCAAAGGACTAGCCGTACTACGTTACACTTGTCGATCTTCAAAGTACTGGCACATACATCTCATGTGATCTTTATCACATTCCTTGTGATACGACAGACATGTAATTCCCAATTTGTAAGTGAGAAAAGTGGAGGTACAGAAAGATAAAGTGACTTATCCAAAAACCATATTTCCAACAGATCGCTGCTGCTTCGAGGGCACCACTGGCTTCCAAACTATTATTTCTCCACAACTACTGGAAAACGAGGTTTCCGAAACAACAAAAAAATGCAATGAGGTTCCTGGAGTCATCCTGTGTTAGGGCTGCAATTTACCTACTTGAAAATATCTTAGTCTCTGCTGATCAGGATGGCAAGGGAGGGCCCGGCTGGCCAGCTTTCTGTCCTGGGGCTGGTCACAGGGCACCCCGGCAGACAGAAGACTGCAGGCTGCAGGGCTGAGCATGCGCCTGCCGCCCAGGCACTTGTCTGCTCTTTGTCAGACACTAATCAGGGCCTCCACTTGACACGCAGAGGAGTGAGGTTTTCTCAAGTGGAACTTAGTTTTCTAGGTGCCATCCCAGCACGGAAAGCCCTGGAAAACCCCAGAACCTCCGGCGTTTCAGAGACCCGGTGGCCCATTCGTGATGTCCCTGCTTAGACCTCGTGACTACCGGGCTGTCCGTGGGAAAGTCACCATCCGTGTCTGCTTGTGGCAGTCCACTTCCTCCTCCCCTCCGCCGAAAGGAAATGTAACTCCTCTGACCGTGTGTCCCAGCCTCAGTGCCAGCCAGGTGAGGGATGGGTGACATTTAGCTGTAAAGACAGACACATTTTTATTTTTTAAAATGAGTTGTTTCATTGTTTGGTGCGGCTCATAAGGAAGAAGCCAGGCATGGCAGCCTCACTGGGAGATATGGATGACCTTCCTCAGGAAACGCTTGGAGGATGGATGCACCACTTCATTCCTTTGTTGAAAACTGATCTAGCCCTGGCCGGTGTGGCCTGGTTGGTTGGGCATCATCCTGGGCACCCGAAGGCTGGCTGTTGGATTCCCGGTTGAGGGGGAGAAAGGGGCAGGAAGCAGCCTAGCAATGTGCGCTCTCACATCGATGTTCCTCTCTCTCTCTCTCTTTCTTTCTCTCTCTCTCTGTCTCCCATCCTCTCTCTAAAATTCAGTTTTAAAATCTTTTAGAAAGAGAAAAAGAAAACTGGTCTACTTACTTTACAGTGACACCATCCATGTGGCTTTCAAATGTTGCAAATGCTAGGCTCAACGTAACCTTAGCACCAATATGAGGTGATGAAGCTGAAAATAAATGCTGGTGTTGAGCATTACTCAAAGCTAGAGCTAGGAAAAAAAAACACATACACAAAAAAAATATCCCACTTATTCATTCATTTGATTGTGTATATTTCAAACATTGAAAACCTACTATGAGCAAGGGCTACAGCTATTATATATATATATATTATATATATATATATATATATATATATATTATATATATATATATATTATATATATATATATATACACACACACACACACACACACACACACACCCCTCACTTGGAGCCTGTGGGCAGGCAAACAGTTGAACTGCAGAGCAGTCGGGTAAGTGCTGCAACAAAACCATATCTCAGGTGCTGTGTGTTCGATGCCAACCATCCCAGTGCTGGGCCCGTTAGTCTGTAGAGCCATTCTCATTGAGCAGCCTCTTACAGACAGACTGGAGGTGAGAGGAAAGGAAAAGCTAAGGAAATTCTCCCCTGCCCTCTTGACTTTGCTGGCATTCCCAGCAATTGGCTGCATGTGGCTGCGGCTTTGGCTCAGTGACTCCAGCCTGTGGCTTAGGTAACTCTGCCACTTCCTGCTAATACTCCAGTTTAGGATGGTAAAGGCTTCCTGCTGAAAAGCTTTCTGGGTAGCTTCACCTTCTCCCGTTTGCTTCTCCGTCACCCATAGGAGCAATCCCCTGTATTAAATTCCTTCTGCACACACCAGTGAATTCCAGTGGAAGAGCATCTTACAAAATACCTCAGCAGGACTCCTCCAAACGATCAAAGTCACCTAAAACAAGGATATGCTGAGAAACTGGGACAGCAAAGAGGAGCTTTAAGAAGACATGCCAATAAATGTGTTGGGTGTGCTGTATGGGATCAAAAACTAAGGAACTCAGAATTAGCATGGGCTTACCTAGTCATAATGTATCAATATGGGTTTGTGGAGAGTAACAAAATATCACACAGTAATAAGTGAGATGTTATTAATAGGGGAAACAGCATGAGATATGTGAGAAGCCTTGTACTATCTTCTTGGTTTTTCTGTGAATATAAAAATTCTATTTTAAAAAATTCCTTCCACAGTAAACATTTGAAGTGGTTTTGTTTCCCACCTGTAGAAACCCCTGTTGCCTCCCTTCCCAAGCCGGGGCAGGCCTGACCCAGCAGGTCCGAGCTTTTTTCACAGGGAGATAAGCAGAAGTTTAACAGTCAGCATGTCAAGAAACATCCCAGCAAGGGATCAGGCCGCTCTGGGAAACCGGGAAAAAGCCTGGATCTGAAGCCAGAATGGGGGATCTGGGTCGAGGATGATGGGACAGGGGAGAGGGATACAAGTGAGGAAACCAAGGCAGCCGGCCACGGTGTGGAGCCAGGGCCTGGAGCCCATGCCTGAGAAGAGAGATTTGAGCCTGCTTTCAATCCTCAGCCAGAACGTCGGGGTGAGAGAGGGGCTGGCCCTGAGCTCTCTGGGAGCATAGACAGAAGAGGAAGAGGGGAGAAGGGGCGTGGGGTGGAGGAGGGGAAGAGGAAGAACAAATAATCATAGCAGCGAAGGGTCCCTGAGTCATTTTACCTGCATTTTCTCATTTCTAGTTCCTCATAAGCAAGGCACTATTTTATTCCCATTTCACAAGTGAGCAAACTTACCCAAAATTGCATCGATATTCAGGGGCAGAATTACAACTCAAATCCAAGTCCACTGGACACCAAAAGAGGCTCAAGAAAAACACCCTGCCGGGCAGGCTTTGTAGAAGCTTTGCCATTGATCTTCGAGGACAAGTAGAGGCAGGATGTAAACAAGAGTGGGGAGAAGAAGGTCCCCGGGGAGGGGACATCCCAGGATAGGGAAAGGCATGGAGGGGTGAAAACAGGAGGCAGGTCAGGGTGCTGCGTGGGGAGCAGCGTGGCCAAAACGGAGGTTTCACCGAGGAAGTGCCCGTGGATCCCGCTGGAGAGGAGGCAGGGCCAGTGCCCACCGGTTTGAACTTTATCTTGCTTTCCACGTGGCAAACCGCTTTACCTCCCTTAAACCTTTGCTGGAGCGTCCCCTGAGCAGCTTCTCTTGATCCTCCCAATCCTGCTCTATTTCTTTCCTTCTTCCCTTGCACTTATCATCTTCGAATACATTACTAATTATTAATTATTTCTCTCCCTCTCCGCCTCCCCCGTCTTCACATGTCACACACACGAACAGAAGTCCCACAGGCTAGGAATCCTTGTTTTGTACAGGGATCATTTCCAAACACAGTCTCTGGACACCCCCCCCCCCCCCCTTTTTTTTTTAAACGAATGAATGACTGAAGTTAGTAAATAAGAAGATGTTTGAACCAGTTGGGATTCTTCAGAGAAACAGAACCAATTGATTATGGAAGCTGCCAAGCTCTAAGATTGGCAGTCAGCAAGGTAAGACCCAGAGCCAATGCTGTGG